ATTTTAAAAAGGATATCATATAAAGACGATCAATCTCTTTCTTTGTTTTATTTTTGGGTGGGGAGATGGACGTAGAATCGTTTACATGCATACCACCACATTCTAAGTTATTTACATATCTAAAGTTTAAACTTTACCCTTTACATTTATAACACCCAAATATTTTATATCATAATAAAAATATTAATATTGATTTTTAAAAAAATAAAAATAGATATTTTTAAGATGTCACATATATAAAAATAGAGGTTTAGGTGTTAGAAATGTAAATACATAGGGAAATCTACCCTTTTTTTTTGTTTAATTTTCCTGCTCCATTTAAACCAACTTTCCCCCTCCCTCCTCGTTCTGCAGAAAGAAGAGAAAATGGGCACTGTGGCTCCGTGCCCTGAGGGAGGCGGAAGCTTCTCTGCGTTATGGGCAAGCGGAGAGGACTCGATCTTCTCCAAATCTCCAAGCGAGAGAGGCGACAACGTGGAATCGGATTTGCGATGGGCAGCGCTGCAGAAGCTTCCGACCATGGACAGGGCGAGGATGGGAATTCTGAATGCTGAGGATGGGAAGCTGAAGGAGATCGATGTCAAGAACCTCAGCTATCAGGATATGAGAAAGCTGCTTGAGAGACTGGTGAAAGTTGTAGAAGAAAGCAATGAGAAGTTTCTTCTTAAGATCAAGGAAAGATTCGATAGGTATGGTCTGTGAATATAAAGCTCGAATTCGTTTTATGAGGCTTTTTTTTGTTGATTTCCAATGAAGCTTTGGTTGATTCACAGAGTTGGAATTCATTATCCAACAATCGAAGTCCGGTATGAGCTTCTAAATGTTGAGGCTCAAGTATATGTGGGGAGAAGAAACTTGCCTTCCTTTTTCAATTCAATTCTTAACACAGTTGAGGTATACCAAATGTTCATATCGGAGTTTTCGGACTACTTTAATTTAGAATGTGAGATGGATTTGTTATTCTTGGTTATGATTATTTTTTCATTGAATGTAGTTCTTAGCCAACTACCTTCATATAATTCCAAGCAAGAAGAGACCATTCACCATACTTCACGATGTTAGTGGAATCGTCAGGCCTCACAGGTATCAAAATGGCTATTGCTTTATATTTATCTAATGTGTTGCTAAGCTAAGTGTGGAATCTACAGGTTGACACTGCTTTTAGGGCCCCCGAGTTCAGGGAAGACTACATTATTCTTGGCTCTAACTGGGAAGCTAGGCTCGGATCTTAAGGTTTTGTAGTTTCTACAATAACTTTTAAGTCTAAGTTCGTAAATTTTTTATAATTCTTTGAAGCGTAAACCAATGAAAGCAAATATATTAAACAAAATTGAAGCAGGTTTCTGGAAATGTGACATATAATGGCCATA